CGCGTCGCTAGGCGAGCTCACATCGAGTATACCTAACCTAACCTACCCGGTGAAAGGCCGCGTGCCACGGGATGACCTAGGCCTTCACGCCCGTGGAACGGAGTTTCCGCCGCCCCCGGATCAGGCAAACACTCCGGCATATAGCGAACGCGTACTGAGCCCAACCCCGCACGCCACGCTGTCGACCGGTGTTGGTAGCGGACGTTCCGCCCCGGCAGTACCAGGCCCGAGAACCACCACTGGGGACTAGCAAAACCAGGCTGTGGATTCGCTAGATAATAGCCGCGTTCAGTCTTGCTTTCGTTTTCCTAGATAGTATTTTGAATGTAAAGAATTTTATCAGTGCGTAGAACATTCTTTGAGCTTTATTTATCCGAATACTTATTTCCTTTGACCAACCATTCTTTGTACTTAACGTTGCTCCCATAGGTTGGTTAGGTTATATTCTCCATCTCACTGGATCCTCTCCAATCTCAATTGGTTCTATTATCTTTGTTTTCTCACTATTAATTTCAAGACTTATTTTCTTCGCTGCTTCTTCTAACAATCTGGCTGCGTTAGCTGTGTCTGCAAGCAAATCACTTATTATATCTAAATCGTCAGCGAAACCGAGGAACCGTATTTTATTCTAGCCTATTAATAAACTACCTTCATTGTCCTGAGTATCCCTACTACCTTCTATATGGTAAAATTGAAAAGTACTGTGGACAGGACATCCCCCTGTTTTAGTCCGGTTTCCACTATAATGGTTCCTGATGTTACGTTTTGTGTTCTTACTCTCTATTTCGTGTTTTTCATATAGATTTTAGTTAATTAAAAATTTAAAAAAATAATATTATTGGAAAATCAAACTCGTACCTATATTATATTTTAGATTCTCTTTGTTGATACTATTATAGGTCTTTTTAAAATCTACGAATAGTTACAATATATTCTGCTGATATTCGTACCTCTCTTCGATTATTTGACTTATTATAGGTAATTGTTCAGTAGTTTAACAGCCTTTCCAGAAACTGCATTGGTATTTACCTAGATAGTCTTCCACATAAGGGACAATGCGATTTAGTAATATGCTAGAGAAGACCTTATATACAAAGTTCAGGAGCGATACCCCTGTGTAATTGTCACATCTTGTCTTGTCTCCTTTTTTATGCAACGATATGATGATTACCTCATTCCAGCTATCCGGTATTTATTTTTCCATCCATATTAGCTGGCACAGCCAGTAAATTACTACATGTAACTCCCCACCTCCGTATTTTATTAGTTCTGCTGGAATATCCTTGACACCTTGTGCTTTCTAATTTTTCAAGTCAAAAATTGCAATTTTTACTTTTTTTAGACTAACATCCTCTACATATGGCTCTGCACTTTTATATTCGACATGTACTATAAGCTGGACTGGCATCCTACTAGTTAGCTTTTTTTTAAAATATTCTTTCCATCTCTCAGCTCTTAACTCTGGCTTCATTAACACTTATCCGTCTTGGTCACTGATTGCATTCTATATAGAGTTGAATTGCTAAATATTTTTAATGACTCTAAAAAAATTTCTAGTTCTCCCTTATGTTCGGCTATTCTCTGCAGTTTGAAGTATGTCGCTAAAAAATTTTCTTTTTTCACTTAGAAGGGTACTTTTGTAGATTTTACGTTCCCGTAAGAAAACTTCTTTAGTCATTTGCGTGTTGTTCTTCATAAAGTGATCTCTTGCTTTGCAGAGTTTATCTACAGCAATTCTACAAACATTATTATACCAAGTATTTCTTGTCCTTTTTAGCTCACCAATACAAGTGGACGCTGCTTTATTAACAGCATGATTCACTTTTTCCCAATCCAAAACTACATCCATTTGTACATTATTCTGTTTAAGATTCTTCATGACTTCGCTCTCATAATTTCTCCTCACAATTTCATCTTTGAGTAACTCTAGATTAATTTTAATCCTTTTTTCTTGTTTTAATTTTGATCTAATTTTTGCAATCACCAAGTAGTAATCCATGTTAAATTCGGCGCTTCTATGGCTTCTTACATCATAAATGATACTACGGTATGTAGTTTGTATGAAAACGTGGTAAATTTGGTTCAGAAATTTGCCATTTAGTGACCTTCACATGTCTCTGTAAATATTTTTGTGTGGGAACGTAGTACTACTAACAGACAACCCGTTTGATGTTGGGAACGCTATCAATCACTGACCATTGACATTACTGTTACCATGTAAACTTTCCTTCCCTATGCAAGGAAAGTATTGTAGTTCCCGTCCGTATTTCGCATTGAAATCACCTGGTACAATCTTTATCACGTTCCTAGTGATGCTCTTGTATATTTCAGTAAATTCGTCGTAGAAGACATCTTTAACATTGTCATATTTTACGTTTGTTGGTACACGTTCATTAATTATACAGATATTAATTAGGTTATTATTAATATTGATATCCGTTCAGACACTGAATTTAACTCTTTAATGTACAGTACAAATGTCCTATGAACTGCAAAATCACTTGAAGTAATGCGTATTTTCCATTCAAGGTAAAAAAAATTGTATACTCTCCAATCGTTATTTGTCCTACTCTCAATCATCTTATTTCTTGTATGGCTACTACTTTAATGTCGTAAGTGTTAAGAAAATCAGCTAAATTTTGCTTGCACCTGTTTTATACAAGCCTGTCACATACCATGTCGTAATCTTAAAAACAGTATTCGGTTTCAAAAAACCAGTCTTGAATCCATGCAATCTTGTCCGAGGCTTAGGTGTAGTTGGTTTCATAACAAGGTTATTTTACTAAACAGGGTTGTAAATCCTGCATTTAACCTCCAACCTGGAAGACCAGTTTGAATCAATCAATTAAGGTCAGTTTAGTTTAAAGCTCGGGTCCCTGGGTACGCCAAATTCGTAGCAAAAAGTAGTGAATCTCCTAGGGGAAAATAAAATGTATATAATAATAAAATTAAATAACTGAAATGTAAATTATTATTATTATTTAAAATATATTAGATAAGTACATACGATGAAACGATGCGCGATCAAATGCAGCACGAGTTGAAATTACATGCGACGAAAATACCTAACCACCTGACCTGACGACAATGATATGATAAACCACAATGTTCTCTTCAATAAATTGATATTACTGTGAATCCTACATGATAGTCTCTGTCTTTGAAATAATATATTTATAAATGCATGCTGCAGTTACTACTTCCAAGCTATGATAATTTATTATTTTAACTAACCATCCGTTTGAAAAACCAATGACGTATACGTTATACAATAAATTGAATAATATTATCATTATCAAATAATTTTCAGCATAAATATAATTTAAACTTAATAATATTCATTTTTTTATTATTAATTTAATAATTTAAGCCCTAAAGCCCCTGAAATTGGATATGCCTTGAGGTTCTTGGCTTTAATACGCCACTGATCATTATGATATAAATGAATTTTAATGGTAAAAAATATTTAACCATTGGAAACTTTTAATTAATTATACTGAACTTATGCTTTACAACTTAAGTATAATGATATTAATTGAAATCATTTTCTTGTTACACGTCGTTTCAATGATCAATATTGACTAGATTTGTTTACTGACAGTTAATCTACGATATTATAAACTCAAAATTCAATATTGGGAAAAAGAAAATGTTTTTTTAATACATTAAGCTGATAACATTTTCATTTAAGAATTGCATACTAAAATATGTGTCTAGACTTAAAGACTTCAACTTTTTACATTGGTTATGAAGCTAAAGCTTGTATTTCTATTGGAGAATGATATTGTTAATTTTAAATATGACTAAAATAAATAGTTGTATACGAATTGCGTATCCACCGATATAAAACTTGCGATATGCGACATATGCATTTCGCCCAAGTTTTCCTATACGAATTTTTGTCTATACAAAATGCTTCAAGAATATCTGTTATCAATATATATATATAATTATTTAAATTAATAATAAATATGATCATTAAAAATGTATGAATATTAGCTTTTAAATAATATTTTTAAAGTCATAAAATAAGTGTATGCCTGTAGTTGATATGTGTTTCCATTGTATATCGTTTACCATTGTCCGCTAATCTGTGATTCTTAAAAGTTAAAATATGAGTTAAACAAATGTATTGATATTTGATATACTAAAAACGTAAAAAATTTACTTACATCAAAATTTGTAGAAGTGATAAAATAAAGAAAGTAAAACATGAAATATATAAAAACACTTCTACCAAGGTATTAAAGTGTGGTTGGCTGTCGTATGACTTTCAGAACTCAGGTAATACAGAAAAATGAAATAATACGAATTTCAATTTTTATAACCTAACCTAACAACTACCTATTTATTTAACTAACCACTGAATAAAATGAATAATGAAAACTTAGATTAAAACTATATGATGCTCTGATATAATATTTAAGAGATGCTCTGCAGAATAACGCAGGTGTTGCTCGCTCCTTCGACCATACACGACTGATTGACCACCAGCCGGGGCAGGGCCCGTCTCCACGGTCCGTCCGAGGCCTAGGAAAAGTGCTAACCTAACCCTTTTAATCACGTAGACCATCTTGAGAACTGAAACGGTTACACACTCGTTTTCATGTCCTGAAAAACATATTTGGGCATTACATATGCGAACCCCCCGTATATACTATGTACCCCTATACATACGCACGCATATATAATATATATAAAAACATAAACACATATCCATTACACACGTCTGCATATACAACAGTATAGTCATGGACTATTTCTAGATTTTTTGCTAGATTTAAATATATATTTTATATTTATTATAATGTATGCTTATTTAAAAATGAATTAAAAATATTGTTCATTATAGTTGTGCCCTGTAAGTATTATTTATTTATTTTTGTATAGTATATGAAATATGATCCATGATTTTAGATTTATATTTAGCTTTTAAAGTATATTTCACACACCCTATAACATTAAATATATAATCAAAAGGTAACCATTTAGTGATAACTATGATCAAAGTTAGTTGATAGTGAATCCTTTATCAAGGTATTTGAACTGTTTTGTGTTTGAATAGTCGAGAATAAATTATAATTTTATTCGCGATACTTGGAGGTTGCTAGATATCCTATAAATAGAAATAAACTTCTTCTAGTCTACAACACAATATGGGAATACGGATTCTTCCCCAACCAATGGCGCAAAGCAATCATTATCCCAATACCCAAACCAGATAAAAACAAATTCCACGCAGAAAACTACCGTCCCATCTCTCTAATTAGCACACTATGTAAAGTACTCGAAAAAATAATTAACTCAAGACTCATATGGCACTTAGAAGTCTCTGAAAAATTCAATAAAGAGCAATGTGGATTCCGGAAAAATCACTCCACACTCAACACTTTATCCAATATTCACTCCCATATATGTAACGCAGCCAAAGTAAACCAACACACAATCCTAGTAGCGCTTGACTTAACAAAAGCATATGATATGGTTTGGAGACAAAGAGTTACCCTTATCCTACGTGAATGGAACATCTCAGGAAACATGATTACATTCATCACTAATTTCTTACAGGACAGATCATTCCAAACAAAAATTGGTGAAACACTATCAACAACTCATACCACTGAAAATGGAGTCCCCCAGGGCTCAGTCATCAGTGTCACCCTGTTCTTAATCGCAATAAATAATATATTTGACAATATTCTTCCCCCTATAAAGTATTCCATCTTTGCGGATGATTGTAACATTTTTTGTAGTGGCGCGAACATAAAAACAACAGTCGAACTCATTCAGCAAGCCCTAAATGAACTCCTCAAGTGGTCAACCACAACAGGTTTCAATTTCTCACCATCCAAAACACAAAGTATCATCTTCCACAAAAAACGTAATGAAAAATTATTCCACATCAATTTAAATAACATCACTATATCATATACAGATAAAATAAAAATACTAGGTATGACTTTCGATCACAAATTAAATTGGAACCCACACCTAAAAAACCTCAAAATAAATGCAAACAACAACATGAAAATTATGAAAACCTTATCTCACCACTCTTGGGGCTCTGATAAAAATAGCCTCATTACTATATATAAAGCAATTATACTAGCAAAAATGGAATACGGTGCAGTCATTTATAATACTGCCAGAAGCGAAATTCTTGATATACTAAATCCTATACACAATCAAGGCATTAGACTAGCCACAGGTGCCTTCCGCACAAGCCCAACTGCAAGTATTATGTGCAACGCTGGAGAACTCCCACTTGAATTTAGAAGGATAAAAGAAACACTAAAATTTGTAACTAAATTCTCAAATAACAAAACTCAAGTTCCAACCAGAAGACCTCTGAATATACGTAACAGTCCAAACATACCTCGCACTATCGACGACACGTATAAGACCATAGCAGATATAATGAAGTTCAAACCAATTATGTTTAACAAAATTATCTTCCCGTCTTCCCCTCCGTGGATGTGGAATATTAAGCTCAATACCCAACTTCTCGAATTCGACAAAAAAATTTCCTCAACCTCAACCATAATAAATAACTTTTCAGAAATAATTGAAGTAAAATTCCCCCACCACATAAAAATCTTTACGGACGCCTCAAAATCCCCCAATGGAACCGGTTTCGCATTCATAGAAAATAACAAAACTTCAATGTTCAAATCTCCTCACGAAACCAGCATTTTTTCCGCTGAAAGTCAAGTCATCCAAAATGCAATCTCACACGCGACGACCTTAGTGTCTGAAGAAATTCTTATAATTAGTGACTCCCTTAGTGCACTACTAGCCCTCGAAAATCCTTACCCCAAAAATGAAATAATTCAATCCATCCAAGAAAAGTTATCAAACACAACAAAAAAAATCGAATTTCTATGGGTCCCCTCCCACACTGGCATAAGTGGCAATGAACTAGCTGATAAGGCAGCCAACGAAGCAATAGCATCACCCAGCTCGGTACTAATAAATAAAATAACATTTCAAGACGCACTCACAAAAATAAATAAACTAACAAAAAGTCACTGGCAAGACTCGTGGGAGAAGACTCCACACACAAATAAATTAAAAGAAATTAAACCTTTAATCGACCCATGGAAAACTCCCCCATCCTCGTCCAGGCACGAAGAAGTAGTTACCACAAGAACCCGGATTGGACACTCTCGCCTAACACACCTGCACCTCATAACAAAAGAAGACAGCCCGACCTGCGAACTCTGTGACAAAGCGCTGACAATCAAGCACATCACACTAGAATGTCCCAAGTTCACCAACTCCAGACAAATTCTTGGAAACCCATCAACTATGCAACAAGCACTTGGCGAAGATAACTCCAAAAACATATACAATTTTTTCAAAAACATAGGCTTAGCAAAATTAATTTAGTAAAATAATTGAATGTACATATATTTTATGAACTCCCTTTATTGTTAAACATAATGTGCCCCCATAGTTTCAAGATCAATACTCTATGACTCCTATTTTATAACTATTACAGGCTAATAACCTCAGGAGTTAAAGCCTTATTTAAATAAAAAAAAAAAAAAAAAACACCCAATTTATTATTAATTTTTTATTGCCATATTTGTATAACAGTTAAGGTAATTTTATTTATTTATTATTATTATTTTTTTTTTTTTTTTTTTTTGTAGTAAATATAAGTACGTAATTATTATAGTTTTAAATTAATATTAAATTAGTAAACAATTTATGCTTAATTATTATTCAATACAGCCAATGTTTTATTGTTAACTATTCGAAACTGCAGTTAAGATAAATAGATTCTATCTACATGATAAAATAAATTAGAGATAGATAACCAAATAGTAATATTATCTGATCATTTTTGATTAAATAATTTAATTATATTCTATATTTATAGTTTAATATAATTAATAGTTGTAATACTAATATTTTTTTCCCTTGGAAATACTCGTATGCATCTCATACAGACCGAAAAGTCCTGACTATACAAAAAAAAAAAAAAAACGTTAAAAACCAAAAAGTTCTACTTTAAAACTATTTGATTTCAAACTGATATATTTTATTTTATTTAAAATAAGAAATTACAGTTTTGCGTTAAAGTAGCTCTACTATTTAATTATTAAATAATTTTAAATTCTGATAATTCACCTCAATATTTATTATTAATAATTTATAGTAACATGGAGGCGTAAGTAAATATTATAAGTAACTATTTTATTTAATTTTTTATAAAATTTAAAAATGTTCATGAAATAAATGTCTCTTCTACAAATTATGAAAATAATCTCTTTATCCTGAGTTACTGTTTCAATGTAGGTGTAAACTAAAGACCTTAATGCTTAAAACATTATGTAGGGATATCATTTGATAACCCAGCTACTTCAAGGAGTAAAAAATATAACTATCCACCTGAATCATCCCACCACAAATGTCAACTCTAGATTTTTTCCAGAAATAAACTTTCTGATGGAACTGAAATATTTCTTTCGAAAACCCCTAATAATTATATTCATCACTTAATAAAAAATCTGCTTAAGCATAGCTTGGATCAATCTTTAGTAAATATTTCAATGACGAATCATTTGGGCTGGAATTTTGATACAAAGATATCTTTTTTCTAATGTTTTGAAACGTTGGTTCGTTAGAAAAAAATGTGCTTTGTGTGATTTTTTTTTTTACATCATTCTGTATCTTTTGACTAAATCAATCTTAAATGTATTTTTTAGGTTTTTTAAGTCATTTTAGAATTTTTTGAGATTTTTTAGGGCATTAAAATCCCATCTCTACTTATCGTGTAAATAACTTTTACAAATAGGAAAATGAATTAGGTAAAGTTTAGATATTCTTTAAACAATAATACTAATTTTAATATAAATCTAAAATCACCATATGATAATTAAATTTATGACATCTTATTCTAAACACTGATCTAACCTTGGAAAATTATTAAATTTCATATACTTCTTTTCCATCAAAAAATCCCCTCGATATGATCTTATAACATCAGAAAAAGTCCGACAATTACCAAGTAAAGAGATTGTTTTCTTAATACACGTATTACATAGTTAATTGTGGCTGTAGTATTTTCTAATGCAATAGAATTTTTCAAAAATCATCTTAATACCGAAACCAAATAAATCAGCTAATCATTTAACCTTATATAAACCCATAGGCTTGACAGAGCACTTTTTTTTCAAAAATCTGCAAACATCTTATTTTAAAGCGTAAAAACTTAATCACAAAAGAAGAGAACATAATATTTGTCACCAATTTGGATTCCGGTAATGTCACTCAATAATCCCACTAGGTACATCGCCTAGTTAATCGTATCTCCCTTAGCCTAGAAAAAAAAACAATATTGCTCAACAGATATCGCTTAGACGTTTTACCGAGCTTTAATCTCAAACTTCGCCATCGTACTACCTACTTTTTAAATCTTATTTGTATCACCGGAAATAAAGTAGAAACTAATATTTCTCAAATCTGAAAAATATAAACGTAGACAGACTCAAGGTCTTTCTCTTCCAAACTCCTTTTTAACATATTTATGTAGGACTCTCAAATTGATCGGATTCCAAATAAAATCAAAACAAAATACTTTACCCTAGTAATTGATAAACGTCTTACATGTTGTCATCATTTACATGTAAAAAGGATAACAATTAAGGTTTACAGCTTTTTCATAATTTATTAAATACATTGAAAAACATTAATACCAAAAGCAAACTAAAATGTTCAAAATTTTACACAAGCCGATTTATACTACGAAGTTCTGCAAAAATAACTAATACCAACAAAATTCAAGAATCCAATTTAGTGAATTTTAAACTATTCTTGCTGCAGCTCTATAAGTTTCCAACAATACACTTCATAAAAACTTGGGTATCCTTAAAGTTAACAAAGCATCCAAACTTCATTATGAAAGTGCCGTAAGCGTCTTCACGAACATACCAATCATATCTTATTGCAAATCTAGTTTCTGATAAACTCCCTGAAAACTCATCCCGCCATCGAAAAAGAAATTGGTACCACTTAGTATGATTTTAATTAATATAATAATTTATATTTTTATAACCCGTCAGTTGGTATTCCGTCGATGGACATTATATCCACATATTATGTTATTTCCGCCAATTCAATGTAACCTTTATAATATCATATATGTCTACAGATTAAATATTTTTATAAAAATAATACTTTTATAAATTAACTATCTATTACTTTTTTATAGCTTGTTATAAACGTACGTAATTATAATTTTAATAATTAATAATTTTATAGATAATGGTATTTTAGATTAATTTTATTTTTATTCATAATAATAGACCTAGAACTTTTTTTATTAATATTGATATGATCGCTTATTCTTTAGTAAGACAATTACAAATATTTTACAATAATTATTAATTACTTTTTTAAATTACTATGAAACAGTGAGCAGAGGTATGTAATAAGTTTTATTTTGTAAGAGTAAATGGTATCAGAAGTTGTACGATATTTTGGTCTTAATTTTAACACGTTATTACATTGTGTGAAGTTGAAGTGAGAAATGTATGGATTTCCCAATGATAATATTTTTTAATTATTGACCATAAACTAGTAAATTATACATTTTATATCTATCACAATCCTAATGATATTTAATATCGTTAAATAAAATACAAAATATAAAATATCTGTTAAGCTGATGGACTTTCATGTATAATAATTATTAATTAAACTCGAGTTTGTAGTTATATACTAAACTTATGGTTGGACATTGTATAAAAATCTGTCAGTTTACATACATCACTAATATGAAAAACCTTATAAAATATTAGTATTTTTATTGCTTGGATGCTTCCACAAGAGTGTGAATCATCGTTTTTCTTTCCATCAATTTTGTCAAAGAGCTTAGAGATGATGGAATGCCGGATCCATGTATCTAATACAAATGGTTTAAAGTTATAAGTTATATTTAGTATAATAGTATTGTTAATAGTGTTCATCGATTGCATATCGTTTAATAACTCGTATTTTTACATGTTAGAGGTTTTTTTTAAGTAACTAATAAGTTAACAAAGAAGATTAATCTTATGTCCTTTTTAAAGTATTTAACTGATTAAAAATAATTTTCATTTTTATTGTAAACATAAAAAATTTTAGAAAAGTGGAGGTCCTTTTTTAGAGTCAAACTAAAACTGTTAGTCTCGTTTTTAAATTTTTTTTTAAAAATGGCAACCCTATAAATTCTATAGTATAGAAAAGCATTTCTTAAACTGTGTTCCACGGAGATCACTTCAGGGTTCCGTGGAACTTAAGAAATTTTTTCAAAATTTTCAAAAAAACTACTTTAAAATATCTAATTAAAGATTATTACCGACTAATAAGAAATAAAAAAGGATTGTACAACTTTCATCAATAAAGCCCATTATCTAGAATATTTATATTTATAAAAAGCAATTTCACATATTTCATTAAAATTAAAATGTAGGTTAAAGTAATTTAAAGACCCATTAAAATTATTTTTATTTTAACATTATTATTGAATTAAAAGCCTTCAACACATTGTTTTATTACATGAGTAATTATAATTTGTATCGCAAATAATCCTAAAAATTGCTAAAAAACTAAAAAAAATAAAGATTCCACGGATAAAAAGTGTAAGAAACGCTGGATCCGCCATTTTGGGGTACCCTTACCACACAACTCTGCTTAATTTTTAGATTTATTATACGAATTTGTGCTCAATATAAATTAAACACACCAATTAAATCTGTATACCGTGCCTTAAAACGGTACAAAATATTTGTATGTTGAAATATACATTCAGTTTACATTTTTATGCATATATTAAAAATAGATCGCCAACAACACGAGATCTTCAGTTCTCATTTCTTTTAAATTATTATCGTTAACTAATAGAACTGTCCATGCAAATTATCTTTCTTTAAGAAAGTAATCTCATGCAAAACAGACTTTTCAAATGATTATGTTAAGTTGGGAAACTTACATTGCTTTATTCAGAATCTAAAATGTAATTAACAATAGCATCTCGTAAAGATAAACTCCTATCGGAAAATCTTTATAAAAACAAACATATAGATATGTTTTTTGTATAAAGACAATATTAAATTATCGCTATTCTTATAATAATATTATGAGATATTTTTATAATGTATAACAATATTTACTGATTATTATGATAATTTTTTTATTTATAGATAATATATGTAAGTGCATTTTGTATTTAATTTAATATATGAAACTTAATAATTCAATTTTTGTGATCTGTGTTTAATAACTTTTATAAATATCATCATACTTTTGAATGGGTTACTTCAATAAGGAATTGAAACACACGGTACGACTATTATTATTATTGACTTGTAAGACATATTCTTCAAAAACTGGTTGACTCTATCCAAGTAATAATTAAATTCGTAGATGGTTTATTTAGTTATTAGCGATGCAAACATATTTCATGTTTGGACCTAATCGTTGAGTAAATTAGACACAATATGGTTGAGTTCATAAAAGTTGCAAAAAAATTAATTTACGGTTCTTCGATAGAATTATGAACCGTTTATTCTTGGTTTAATTGACGGTGTATTAATCACAAAGAAATTGCATATACAACTTTTAAACCTACACTAGTTTGAAGATCAATTTTTTACAAATTTGTCAATAATTAAATAAAATTAATAATAATAGGTTCTCACAAATAAACTATGTCAATGATTATAATAATAATTTAATAATATAATATGTAATACTTATAAAATAAATAATTACTTAACTCGTAAGGGGAGACGATTTCTGTTATATAATAAAGAAGAATAAAAACCTTACAACGGGTTCACAAAAAGCGTTATTAAATTTATAAAAGAAAGATAATATAAACATATTATAATATTAGCTGACTCAGCAAACCTTGTTCTGCCATATAAATTATTTCTAATCAATATTTTGGCAATCCGTTTTAAAATATTTAAGCTCTTGTAAGTATATGAGGTTATTGTTAACTGGAATATGACTGAAAGAGGAATGGAGCACTGGGAACGATGACGGCCTATAAAAATAACAATACATCAAATATTCATTTTTTGAATTAATTTTACTTTTATTATCTAATCTAATAAACTTCAAATATCAAGCACTACTTATGAAAATTAAATAAAAAAGATTATTAGTCTATTAGTGTAATGGTGTATATGCTATTTTTGGTAAGTCCGTCTTTAGCTAACACAAACAAACTGGAGGTTTACTCACGCAAGAATATGCCACATACGTATAATTGTCCGTGTGAAAAACACGGCGTGTCAAATTTAAGTCACAAACAGACATAATTTGGCCTAGAGACTTATTTATTGTAATTGCTAATTATAATAATTCATTGTGCTCATTCAATAAAGCGTTCAGATCACCGACGATGCATCTGGCAAAAGGTGAATTAAGGTTA